TTCCTTAGATTTAATTTCTTGACTGTAAAGAGAAGAGACATTCGTGCCTTTTCGAACTATGTCACAAGCTTCAATGCCACATTGCACAGGTCTGCTCTTGTGTCTTTCCCTCCTGTCTGTGTGTGTCTTCCTGTTGGTCACTGATGGGCAGGTATCATGCAGCAGCTGGAAAGACCTGAATAGTCTCCCAGGTACATTCAAGACCCAGCAGTCAACCCACGCCCCTCCCTCTTGTCGCTCCTATTAGCACCCGGTCTTTGTTTAACTGTTTAGTTCTGCAGTTAATGTCCAAACTCCAAACCACACAACCTGCACCACACATCATAAACTAAATTATTTTGCAAATGATTACTGTTGAAGCCTCAAACGTTTGCACCATTTAGTTGAGCTATGTTTTCAGTTGCTATTTGTCATGACTTGTGAGATGGATCATGCCAATGTGGGAGCTTGTAACGGGTTAACCCCGAGAAACCTAAGTATCTTGACGCCTAAGTGAAATATATGTTAGACACAATCATTGCCGAGCCTTCTTCATCTAGTTGGGCTTTCCAGAGTCGAGCAGCACACCCGGGTTTTTGTCGTAACTTTTGTGAGTTAGACTCTTTTCCTCTTCCCAGCATGTGAGACTGTGTTGATAAGACTGTGTTGAACATTTCAGAAGCTCATGACCAAATATTTAGGGGAATTGGGAGGGTTGTGCAGTCTACTTGGAAGGCGTTGTTGTATGTTCTGATACTTGATCTAAACTTAATCAATTTGACTGGACATGTAATATATATGACTTCTAGGGTAAGGTAGTTGTAGGTTTTGACACAAGTCCAGTGATAGAAAAGGCAGTTTTATTATGCAGAGTTCACTTGCTGCCCCCATGAAATATTTTTTTTAAAAGCTTCTAAAGATCCGGAGATATTAGCAGAGGCAAACAGAGTCATGTAATCCTTTTAAAAATGCATCTAAATCAATTAATGCCATCAGTTATTGAGATTAAGATGCAGAAACGGCTGCTGTTTAACTGGCATTGCATTCATTATTGTTAATGTGATTGTTGGCTTTGATGTAACTTAACAGGATTAAAAGCATCATGAAGAAGGAATATTGAAATGCATCTCCTGAACTACTTTTGGATTAATTTCACTTTAGGCTGCATCAATTAATCTCTCTGATGTAGCAATCACATCTTCTGAATATCTGTCATGCCTAAGTGTCCTGTATAATTCCAGTAATTCATTATACTTTACGAGTGTTTGAAAGGAGAGATTAGTGGTGTATACTTGTAGCTTGCTGTGGAAGAATTATTATACCCACTCTCCAATCCTTCCTGTACAGACAAGACTTCAGCACTAGTGTCTGTGTTGGGCTAAGTCTGCGGTTAGCTTCAGTAATAACATTCACATTTGTCTCAGTAGAAAAGATGAGAGAGGGCATGCCAAATATATCTCTTTGTATTCAATGGCGTTATGCAAATTACTAGGAATTGTACGTTCTAAGTGTCTGGGGTGATTTTCTTTCACTATTCTAAAAATGATGGTGTATAAAGATTATAGAGGCTGTAAATGCTTTAGTAGAACAGATTAACTGCTTGTATTACACAGACAGGTGTTGTAAAATAAAACTCTTACTGCGTTGTAAGTCTCAAGGCAACTTTTCATCCTGGAACTATCTTTTTAGTGCAGAAATTTAATAATGGAGCAAAAATACAGCAGACAAGTGAAGTACCGTAATAGGAGCTTTTACGATAATGATGCGAGAACTTTTCACACACACACACACACACACACACACACACACACACACACACACACACACACACACACACACACACACACACACACACACACACACACACACACACACACACACACACACACACACACACACACACACACACACACACACACACACACACACACACACACACACACACACACACACACACACACACTTTTTTGTACACTGTCCCTGATTCAAATAAACTTAACTAAACCTGTCCTGAGAGACTATATGAGTAGCCATCTTCATGATCTAACAACCAAAAACATTCCACAGCAACAGGTAATATGCTACACTGAAAAGCAGCCTAGCTGTAAAACAGTGTGTGGACAAACAGTACCTTCTTAGGAACACTTCTGATCTCTAGACACCATGTGAGCAGGTACAGCAGAGAAATGTTCTGGGGGATGTAGGGTGGCACCAGAGCACCTATAAACACAGAGAAAAGCACATTTGGAAGGACGTTGAAAAAAATAAAAAAAATAGTTTTATGTTTTGTTACAATGTTCCTGTTTAAAAGTACATTTGGGACATATTTGCCTTTTTTCTTAGTGTCTTTACGCAGAGATATGTTTACTAGATGGTTCCTCTGGTCAGACAGGGCCAATCCGTGGAGCATGTCCTCCACCTCAGAGGCCCTGTTTGGGCAAAACACATCAAACGAATCCCCAGGCTGATAGCTCATTAACTGGTGGGCCAAGAAAAAAAAAAAAAAAAAGCATTAATAGCTCACATTGGATTGAGCTGAGTTCATTTCAGCTTAGAGCATTATTCTGTCATGCTTACAGAGATGTCCAGCTCCAAGCAAAGGGCAGTTTTGACTGAATCTCCTCGGGTCAGCTGAACTGCCCTGGATATGGGAACCTCGTGAAGACTGTCTCTGTTCGCTGGTCCATCAACCTGAAGAAAGACTTGATAGATGAAGGATAGAATAAGGCAAAAATACTGGTTTTAAAAGTCGTATCATTCCTTACCTGTTCTATGATTTCTGCCTCCTGAAGAGAGACATCCAGGTAGGAAGGAGGCAGAGCGGGAACATTAAGAGAGGACTCAGACAGCGGTGGCAGCGAGCGTGTCAGTGAGGCTGCCAGTGCAACACCGGGAACTCCAGCATCCCCAGTTTGAGTCTCTTGTTTTGATGTAGAAACACTGGCGGCATCGTGAAACTGGGATGCCAATCCGTCACTTCCCAAAGGAGTAGCTGGAACCAGATCAGAAACAGCAGTCTGTGTAGCTGAAGCTGAAGATGAAGCAGCAGATGCAAATTTGGAGACAGTCTCTAAAGATGAATTGGCTGAATTGCAGTTCTGTTGGTCAGTGATGCTTAAGAGGCTTAGTTGGACATCTGGTATGGATGAATCTTCCTTTGTTGATTCCCCTGCTTCCCCTTTCAAGCAACTAGTCCTATCAGAAGCCATTTTTGATAATGCAGCTTTTATTGCTTTCCAGAGCCCTTCAAGCCAGGGGTCCAATACCACCTCCAGCCTAAAAAAAACAAAATCCACAGAATTTTAGACAGCAGTGAAACAAAAAGAACAGAAAGAGATTGGTTGGGTAAAAAGGCTGGAAGTTTTTTTTCTCTAAACTTACCCTACACCATCATCTGCATATCCTGTTGCATAGAATTGTTCGGCTCCAAGTTCCTGTAGACGGCGCTCAATAGTCTTCCCACAATTACAGAAATTTGCATAATTTGTGTCTCCTAAAGCTGCAGCAGACAAAACAAAAACAGGTGATCATGTCTTGAGCAAGAGACTGTTCAGTAAACATTCTGCAATGATCAACTCATTTAAACACAACTAATTTTGCAAATCAATCTCCCCGTATTTTCAGACAAAGAGCTCTGAGAAGTTACCTAAAAGTGCATAGCAAAGGTGTTTATAGTGGTCAGCGGGGAGGGTCTTCTTCTTGATGCTCTTTACAAATTGAAGGGTATTGTCTGGCGGTTCCCCGTCTCCAGTAGTGGACACAACAAACACCACTGGGGCACTCTCCTTCTCCAAATCGTACTGGAACCAATTATATGATTTATCAATGACCTGTGTTTCCACAAATCCACGTGAACACAATCTACATTTCCAAAATCATCTGGCAACACCCTTTTTTTAAAAAGCATCCAAGTGAAGTGGTTATCACGTGCAATAGTTACCTTGTCATTTTGGTCCAGGCAACTAAGCTCAGCGACCAGTCCGTGCTGCTCTGCCTCCTCAGCAATCCCTTCTGCTATGGACTGGGCTTGTCCTTTCTGAGACCCGTACAGAACCACGAACCGAGGTTTCACCTCACAGGGCATCCTAGTGGGTCAAAAACCACTTTATTAAAACATTTCAATCAATTGTTTTTTGTTGTTGTTGTTGTTGAGCTTTGTCTTCATATCAGCTTGGCCAACATCCTGTTCATTTTGACAGGCAAACAGACTACCATTGTGCAGCCCTCAAAACATAAACCTCAACACCACCATAAATAGTAGCCTCCCCGGATGTTACGTCAGTGTTGTCGTTTGCCAGCGTCACTAAAAGTGCACATGGACCCCAGCTTGTTATACATATTGTGATAACAAACTCTACATATAAAAGGACATGTGTCATATAAGTGTTTAACTCAGGGACGTCTTCTGCTGAATATCTGATACCTTTTCACTGTTCTGTCTCACGGCAGATTCGCCTTTTAGCCAACACACACCCTCCCCTCGAGAGTTGAAAGTTACCCCATTTAAAACTTACTATGACTGCCCATATATCGTTTAAGAGCAGAACATAGTAGAGTGAAGTTTTCTCGGAAGATATGTCATTTTTACCTTTTCAAAACAGCTGTAGAAATCCACAAATTCCTGTCCTTCCCTTCCTATAAGACTGTAAGGTCCTTCCCCTCGATTCTGTCATCACTGGAATTCTCGCGATACCCAGAGTGCACAGGCTGTGGTTGAACGTGATCGGACGAAACCATATCGTTAAAACATATATACGTTTTTTAAAGTTCCTACCTGAAATACTATGCGTGGAAGCCGTGTGTTTCTTTTCAAATAATTTCTCAAAATCCCAGTTAACTATGTCACCATTTTTTTTTCATATTTCTGCTTTAAATGGTTAATAAGAAACACTTCACCCTACTTGGTTCCGCCCTCCCCGCCCGTGGAGTCTTCCAGAAGTCGCCGGCAGACTCGTGCGGCTTTGCAGCTCAGCCTCACTCCCAAGTTTTCACCTTAAAATCGGACACATTTCACCGTTAAACACCCACTAGAAGTCCTAATACATCAGCCAGCATGTCCTCATTGGGGACTCTCGCGTTCGACGAGTATGGGAGACCCTTCATCATCATTAAAGACCAGGACACGAAGACGCGGTTATCTGGGATTGACGCGTTGAAGGTACAATGAGCTAGCTGGCCTTATAGCTGTGTCACGTTGGTTAGCAAAACTTAGCGATTTTGCATTCGTTGCATTGCGTTGACTGCGTTTAGGCAACACCGTATGTGCCAAGGAGAAGCTATCGAAGCATATTGTGTTCTGATTGTGTTATCTGCTGGCGCATTAAAAGCAAGTTATCTTTAGCCAAATGGATTAGCTCGTCATGCTAACAGTGAGGCCCATGTGCTTTGTGGCGTATGGCCGGTGGGTGTTGCTGCACAGGGCTGTTCCCTAATTCTTCATTATGTGTGCATGTTTGTCCAACGTGATGGAGACATTTTCTTTTGAACACAGTTGAAAACATTTTATTTGTATTGTTTGTTAATGTTTGGATGGTTTTTTTTTTTTTTTTTTGTATTGCAGTCTCATATTATGGCAGCCAAAGCTGTGGCGTCAACACTTAAAACATCACTGGGACCTAATGGTGAGTAAGAACCAACTTGGTTAAATCATTGAGCATATTTTGAGTTTATGTAAAATGTTATTGCATTTTTTTTAATTATATTGTACTCAATAAATATAATGTCCTTACTATCAATTGTTAAAGCAGCTTTTTCTTTAAGTCAAGCTCCCACATCATTTCTCATGAACCACTTTCCCCCCCCCCCAATAAAACTTCCAGGTCTTGACAAGATGATGGTTGACAGGGATGGAGAGGTGACTGTCACTAACGATGGAGCCACTATTCTCTCCATGATGGACCTGGACCACCAGGTTGCCAAGCTTATGGTGGAGCTGTCCAAGTCACAGGATGATGAGATTGGTGATGGAACCACTGGAGTTGTTGGTATGGATGGCACTACACGGGATCTAATGTGAAATTTTAAGGGCTGAAAACATGGCTTTCTGTGCTTCTTAATGTCCTGATGGGTCCAACACGGGGTTTAACCTGTTTCACTTATAAAATTACAAACCCAGATTGGTGTGACTGATTTCTCAGCACGTTGAGAAATATGCCTTTCTCATAGATATGCAATCAGTTCTAAGCATCATTTTGCCAGTAAATTCTGGCCATATGAAAACAAAAAATCTGATTTTAAAAATGCCAATCATGATTTTATCATAATTCTTTTTCCACACTGATCTTTAAGACTAATTAGCAATTTACTGATTTGACTCATACTTATTTCTCTGTATAATGTAAAGCTGTGCTGATAAGTTTAGTCTATTTGAAAAATGTTTGTTGCACCAAAATGTCTTTCCCTACAATCTGATAAAAAAAAAAATTATGTACAATTTGAGGATTTTCTGCACACTTTAAAATAATCATTTAGTATTCTGTCCTCTTTTGTGTCTTTAAATCTATTTTAGTGCTCATCAGGATTTTTACACAATGATGCATTCATTTGAAAACATGTGGACTTCAAGTTTGCATGTTTTCAGATGGCTTGTAGTTTCTGTGCAGTTTAAATCCTGAAGAATACGTACAAATTAAGCTTCATACAAGTAGCCTTAGCTCAGGCTTTGTCGTTTCTATGACTTTACTGGGCTAACTTTAGATTTGTTTACAGAACGGTAAAATAATCAAACATACTCCATAATGTGATGATTCTGTGACACATAATCAAAATAAGTTTTACTGAAAGAAGAGTTTAATTCATAGAGGGGGGTTCTGCGATCTCTCTGCTTTGGCAGATCGTCAACACAATCCTTCACGATCTAAGATCGTCTCTCGCACACCGCTACATGAGCAAAATCAGTTAAGGATAATACTTTATTGATCCCCAGAGGGAAATTCGGGCATTGCAGCAGCACAGACAAGTAAGCTCAAAATACACATTAAACAGAATAGATAAGATAAATAAAACATAAAATACGGGGTATATACAAGTGAAAGAAGTGAAATTCTTTCACTCTCACTGTCTTCTTGGATATTCCTACCAAACCCCTAGTAAAAGTTCCATGTGAACTTTGGGTGAGCTGATGTGAGAACACAGCTGTAAAATAACCACTAATAATTGGGAGGTGTTGATGACTTTTACATCCTGTTACCAGCTCACAACCATGGCCAGTATGATACCCATGGAAGTAACCGTTTAGTTACGGTTTCTGTTCCACAGTGTGTTCTTGTGCTGATATCAAACGTCATCTAGCATTGATGTATAAGCAAAAACTGTCAGTACAGCGTCAGACTGTGTCGCTTTGTCCGTGCTACATTTCCTATGACAGACGTGTGAACAACAAACTCAGGAAGTTTTCAGGAATGCATGTGCAAGTGGCTCAAAATGTCCTTGCACATTTCGGCCACATTCCAGTAATTGCCTTTGTAAATATCTTACTCTCATTCTCCTCCTCAGTTCTAGCTGGGGCTCTGCTTGAGCAGGCCGAGCAACTGCTGGACCGTGGGATCCACCCCATCAGGATCTCTGACGGTTACGACCAGGCCGCACGCTTCGCTATCGAGCAGTTGGACAAAATTGCAGAAATTCTACCCTGTGACCCCAACAACACAGAACCTCTCATTGAGACCGCCATGACAACGCTGGGATCCAAAATGTGGGTATTTCAGACACAAGTGCAGATTTTGCTGTTATGTGTCAATACATTTGCATTGTATTCCATTACTTTACTACATTTAGTTTACAGTTTATGGGGTAATAATAATAGTAGTGCAATATATCACAAGTTAGCAGTGTACAAGATAAATTGGTAACTTTGTGTATAATGCCAATTTACTGATTTGGACTATCATACTGCAGATGTAAAAAGAAAAAAACTAATATCAGAGTCTAGCAAATTACAAACCTGAAATGTTGACTCCTGAGACTTAGAAAGAGATTAACTTGTGGATGACTGCCTCTCACTCTGTCCCCATCACGTAAATGTCTTGAGAAGTGTCTGTGTGCCTGGCAGATGATTTTAGCTTGTTGCACCCGCTATATTATTAATGACCCACATTGTCTTTCAGCATCAACCGTTGCCACAGACAGATGGCTGAGATTGCAGTGAACGCCGTCCTCACCGTGGCAGATATGGAGAGGAAGGACGTCGACTTTGAGCTCATCAAGATGGAGGGAAAAGTTGGAGGGAAGCTGGAGGACACACAGCTCGTCAAGGGAGTCATCGTTGACAAGGAGTTCAGCCACCCTCAGATGCCTAAGGTACAAATATTTAACCTTTGATTTCATATGAAATTAAATAGTGAATGCGAGAAATGTAACAACATAAGTAATGATTCTGCAGCAACAATACAAATTTTCTTGCATGTTTTTGTACTGTCACAATGAGATCCTGATGCTAGCATATTCTTTTTACAATCCAGGTTCTGAAAGATGTCAAAATCGCTATCCTTACCTGCCCATTTGAGCCCCCTAAGCCCAAGACCAAGCATAAGTTGGATGTGACCTCTGTGGAAGACTACAAAGCCCTTCAGAAGTATGAAAAGGAGAAGTTTGAAGAGATGATCCATCAGGTCAGAAGTGAAGCATCTCCAGCATTAGAAACTTGACTCCTCCCATGTTGTTGATCTTAATATATATATATACTCTTACTTCTGTTTCAGGTCAAAAGTAACGGCGCTAACTTGGCAATTTGCCAGTGGGGCTTTGATGATGAAGCCAACCATCTCCTGCTGCAGAACGAGTTGCCGGCTGTGCGCTGGGTTGGAGGGCCTGAGATTGAGGTAAGACATGAACTCCTTGATAGATTTTTTTTTTAAAATTGATTTAGCATTAACTACATTAACTCTTGCATCAATTGTGTGTTCTGATTTTGTGACACAAGTGATGATGCTTGAAACAAGATTTAATTTGTTTTCTCTGCAGTTGATTGCCATTGCCACAGGAGGGCGCATCGTGCCGAGGTTCAGTGAGCTGACTCCAGAGAAGCTCGGCTCGGCTGGCATAGTAAAGGAGATCTCCTTCGGCACCACAAAGGATCACATGTTGGTCATCCAGGAGTGCAAAAACACCAGGGCCGTTACCATTTTCATCCGTGGAGGCAACAAAATGGTAATTACAATTGTGACTTTTTTTTTTTTATTCTGCCTAGATACCCATTCATTTGTTAACCCACTGTATGCCTTTGTATTTACCTTTTACTATATCTACTGCTTTAGATAATTGAAGAGGCTAAGCGCGCTCTCCATGATGCTCTGTGTGTCATTCGCAATCTGGTAAAAGACAACCGTGTGGTGTATGGAGGAGGAGCTTCAGAGATTTCATGTGCTCTTGCTGTCAACCAGGCCGCAGATAGGGTAAGGAATCCTAACACCTGCTAATACTTTATTTTGTTTGTAAGCTCCTTTTCTCCCATCTTCCTTTACAGTGAAAAATACTGTTCATATTTTTGTGCTGCTCTGATCTGTTTGTTTTTCTGCCCCTCTCCTTTTTTTAGTGCCCATCATTGGAACAGTATGCTATGAGGTCATTTGCCGATGCTCTGGAGGTTATCCCAATGGCTCTGGCTGAGAACAGCGGGCTGAACCCAATCCAGACCATGACAGAGATCAGAGCCAAACAGGTCAAAGAGAACAACCCTTACTTGGGCGTCGACTGTCTTAACAACAACACCAATGGTAAGAAAGCTGCATGTCTGACAATTCCAGCATTGCACTTAAATGTTAACAGTCAAAGAAATAGTTGAAGGATAATAAAAAAATAAATGTATCTTCCCTACACAGACATGAAGCAGCAACACGTTGTCGAGACTCTGATTGGCAAGAAGCAGCAGATCCTACTCGCCACTCAAGTAGTGAAGATGATCCTAAAGATTGACGACATTCGAAGCCCAGGAGAGAGCGAGGACTGAAGGCCTCATGGAGCATGTTAATGTTTCTGAGCTGCTCTAGAGGTTGTAGGCACTTCCCCGAGCACCATTTACAACCCGCACTGCATATTGCTATTTATCATTTGATACAAAATGTTCAAGCTGTTGACGTATCATAGTCTCCATTAAAATGTTGGTCCGTAGAAACTTTCAGACTTTTGTTTTGATTTCAAGCCCCAAATAAGCTTTATTTATGTATTGTCACATGCACATTGGATTTTTCATTTAAAAAAAACATCTTTATTTTCTACATACAATACATTTTAAATTGCATGCTTCCATTAAGGTACCACTGCATTAATAATGACTTGGCAGAAGTGCTGATTAGTTTTATCTTCACTGTAAATCACATTTCATTACAATCAATACAAATCACAGTTCCTCTGTATCCACAGCCTCAAGAACATTTAGACCTCTGACATAAAATTGCAAAAAAGATTTAAACAGCTTTAATATCAGCCATCATACTAAACCATGACCACCAATCACAACCATTAGTATGCTGTGAAGGACACATTTAATACTGAACTCTTTCAGTTTTTCATTCGGCCAACATAAAAGATAATTGTATAAAAAAATACAATGCATGGCTCTAGCATAGTGTCGCTGATTATTTATACCTGACCTTCTCATTTACATGTACTTATTGAGCCAGTTGATTAAGTCTGCTCTGGCCTCCAGGATGCTGGGTTTGTCGTCTGGGTTCATTTCCTCATTCTTTCGGTGGACAAAGCCATGAGTCTGACCAGGAAAGATCTTCACCTGATAATCAGTCTTGCATTTCTCCTTTAGCTTCGCCTCAAGGCCATTCACCTGAAGAGTTTAGGGATATTAGTACTGGTATGTAATATGTAAAGTATACTCATGAGAGATCATACAGACCTGGTCCAGCGGGGATATAGGAGTCATTCCCACCAAAGATGAACAGCGTAGGAAACTTCAGTCCATACCTGTCCTCTTGGTCACGGATGATCCCTGCACAGAATCACACGAGCCCATCATATAAAGAACCATGTATGTTCACTATTATGCATGCTTTCCATTTGTACTTTTAGACACGAGTAGCCCACTCTAATGTTTGCACAGTCATGTTAAATCACTGAGCAAGTAGTATTGCAGACCGTAGAGTGACACTCCAGCTTTGATGTCTGGATAATTGAGAGACAGGTAATGGGTGCCTCTCCCTCCCCAGCAGAAGCCCACTACTCCAATGTGTTTGGCCCCACACTGCTCCTTCAGGAACCTCAACATTGCATCCACCTCTCTGGAGAAGGAAATGTAAAAAATCCATGTTTTCAACAATTCATACAGGAAAGAAGTGAGGATGGTCACTTTTAAAAACAGCACATCATACAATAAGCTCCCAATTAATGAAAGCAGAAACTAGAAATAATGGTACATCAACTGCTTAAATAAAAAAAAGGTTTTATAGTTACTTCTTAATGTCTGTTGCGCTTCTCTCTTTAAGCCACTCCTGTAGTGTGGACCAGTCATGTGACGGGGTCCATGGCTCCTTGCCAACAAAGAAGTCCGGACAGACTGTACTGCTCAGCGAGAACAAAAACACTGTCACCGGTTGATATTGTTACCACAACACAGCAGGTTATCATGTAGCACAAGGTCTTTACAGTGTCATGCCACATATTCTGAAATGTAGGGGGGGCTATTAAAAAAAGTCTCAATTCCTCCACTATGATACATCCCTAGAGAGATGCTCCGTTAAACCTGATTCATGCTTCTTGCAGTCGGCGTGGAGATATTGCACAATGTCGGCCAGCATGAGGAAAGTGCACGGAGCGTCTGAGGGCTCAGCTGCGCACCTCCAAGATTCTTTAACAGCGCTGACCGCGTTGCAATGAATGGCTGGTTACATTACAAATTTGAACAGTGTAACGTACTCCCGGGCCCTGTACTGAAGAGTCAGTCCGTTCTTCGGCCCGTGTTGAGCCGTATGCAACGACCCAACGTTCACAGGGACCGTGAGCACCGACGAAGCATGAATTAGGTCTTAGTCACACTGCCCTAAACCTTTGTATTAACAAAACCATAATACTTATTGTAAACCCTTGTTGACTTCAAAATGACAGACACAACATGTTTATCGTTACCTTGGAAACACCGGATGTTAAGTAGAGGACCGCTGTATAAGGAAGCGGGAACTGCTACTGACGTACTTTTGCTGTATGTGCCGCTGTGTTAAAAACGTAATGTAAATTATGCTTGGATAAATTGTCAGGTGCCTTAACATCCGTACAGTATTTGGTTCTGTCTGGCCTGGTCATTGAAACTAGTGCCTCAACGTTATCGTTTGTTATTGTTTTCATTGAGAGCCCCCTGGAGGTGGATTAACAGACTGTGCGTTGCACTGGTCCCCGGTCTCCCCTACAGCAGCCTACACTGGTCTACTCACGTGTATCCATTAGAAGCGAGCATATCAGCCATGTATCTGGTGTTGGGAAGCTCCCAGCCAAAGATGTCGTGTATGACAATGATGGCCTTGTCAGATGCAGCAGATGGTTTAACAACATAAGATTTGATGTGCTCTATCTGGACCTCCTGACCGAGCCCCCCATACTCCATCCGATCACCGATATCACAGGGACATGGCTTGGCTTCATTCGCCATCTGCTGACAAACAGGAGCAGACAAGACAGTTCAGAGTCAGCTGGGAATTTTAAAGTTTAAAGTAAAAACTAAAGTTCGCCGTGCCTTTCGTTTTGGATTTTTTTTTTTTTTTTTTTTTTTACTTTATCATGTAAGCAGAAATTGCACCCGTAGCTTTAACCCCTGTTCTGCATCTGTTGTGACGAAAACCGAAGTAGTCTAAAATATGTGCAAATAGAAACCATACCGTGTAGTTCTACGATTTCCAACCACAACGAAGGTTTTTTGCAGGACTCAGGAGCTTTCAGGCAAAGTCATAGGGCAAAGTTCTTCTTTTTCTTCTTTGGTATTTTCTGGAGGTTTTGCACCCGTAAATGTCGCATTACCGCCACCCACTGTATTTTATCAGTTCACTTTTCCAACAGTGCGCATATTCCCAGTTTCCACTTTTCCACCCAGTGAGCCATGTTCTCGTAATTGTCCGCTCTGTTCAGTCAAAGTGGTCAAAGTTCATCGGTTGCCGAAGCTTGTGAGCAAAGTCAACCCTGTCAAGACCTTCAAAATAAAAGCTTTTAAGCTATTTTAAATGTGAGAAGATTTGAGAGAACCCTAAATAGGTGGTGGTGGTGGTGGGGGGGGGGGGGGGAAATATTGTTTAAATGCAAATTCTTCTGTTCAAAATTAAACAGCAGGTTTATTTCCTAAAGACTCCTCCAGTCTCTAAAGTATTTTAAGTAAAAACAATGATTACATTTTTGCAACATTTAACATCTGTGAAAACAAATAATAAACCCTAAAATAGACAGATAGATTCAAAAGGGCTTTATTGACAAAAGGAAACATATTTACATTGGCAATGTGGGGAAAAAAAGGAATAAAGGAAGGAGGATTTTCTTCATTATAATATACATAAAAACAGTTGTTGATTAACTTAAAAAAAATACATGTTGAAAATATAACTGTTCTTATACATACAAATATATACAGATGAGTCCATATATTAGGATAAAATAGAAAAAATGTAAGAAGAATGAAGTTCCTACTCTTTTTTTTGTGCATATTTAGATATATGTTTTGTATGTACTTGCAAAGGCATAGAGATACAAGGAGCTTTTCTCTATTAATTGACGTTCTGTTGTATCTATCAGCCTATTTGTTAATTCTACACATGTCAAGGTCCAATGGGTGGTTAAGGACTAGTATTGAAAAGGCACCGCTGGGATTTGAACCCAGGATCTCCTGTTTACTAGACAGGCGCTTTAACCAACTAAGCCACGGCGCCGATAATTATTAGAGGTCACGGCCATTACAGATCTCACAATCAACCATCTCATAATGAGCCACTCCAGAAATTAAGTTTTCCATTTAAAATATTATCTTCATAACAATCTTCTGCCTAAGGCTCGCTGTCCATCTGCCTCTCCGTCAGACCTTTTAGTGTTGCACTAGTCGATGAAAAAATAAACCATATCAAAATCTTCCCTGAGGCTAATTTGTTACTTTTTTCTGAAGCACCAACCTAAATTTTAAATGACAAAATAAATAACAAGAAAGCTTTTGCCATTTATCTGCATAAGTATCTATGTATTCATATACGTAAAGGCCTACATTTATAACATGTGAAATAAGTTGTTCTCATTTTTGAGGAGGCTGTTTCAAAGAAAATAACTATTAAGTAATCATTTTGTTTTTTTATTTAGTAGTAAGTAGTAGCTCGTACAAACTATTCTACGACAATAAACATGTTTTCAAAAGGTTGACAAAGTTAAACCTGAAAAAAGTAAGCAGACAATTCAAATAAAAACATGTGGAGTAGTCAACATAAATAATATAAAATGTAAACATCTGGAGTAAAATATCGATATTTCTCTTTTTTTTTCAGAAGAGGGGTCGCAGTTGTAAAAAGTTTTAAAAAGAAAACTTTAGTTCAACTCTCATCCTGCAGATGGCGCTGTTTATCATGGGGTTATGGTACATGACGATATAAGATAATAAGATAAGATAAGATATACTTTATTCATCCCAGCAGGGAAATTTAGGTGTTCCAGCAGCCAGCATACATACAAACACACAACACAACACATATATACATACATATCTCACCCATACAAAAAAACATGAGCCAACAATACATAGCCAGGATAAAAAAAAGTGGTATGGATGGTCCATGTGCATAAGCAGCTGTTACTCATAGATAACAGTACAAAATACTAGCTCTGCCAGTGCATAGTATGATAGATAAATATAGAATTATTATTAAAAAAAATCAGTCAAGCGTGCAAATATACAGGTGCAAAATACAGTTTGATATATGCAGCTCAGGTTAAAGTTTAAAAGTTTAAATGTCTTCTGTCCTTACTTAAAGGGGAGTCGATATAAAGTGCAACTGCAGTAGGTAAAAAAGTATTTTTAAATCTGTCCTTTTTGCAACTTATAATAATAATATAATAATAATGATTTTATTTATATAGCACCTTTTAAAAACACAGGTTTACAAAGTGCTTTGACAAACAGCAAAAACAAGAACAAAGCAAACTAAACCAAACACAGAAGAACATTAACAACAGTAAGAATATAACAGATGCAAAATACTAAAAATAATTAAATACAATTCAACAGAAAAGAACCCAAAGTGCACGATACCCAACAGACATATATAACCCGACCATCACAAGAACTATCATAAGAACCCAGGCAACACAAGAACCCAACAACACGAGCTGAGACCAAGAGGACCAAAGATTTAAAAAAAATGTAAGAAACTAAAAGAGCTGAAAAAAATAAATAAAAAGATAACAGCAATAAGAAGGTAAGAGCAGTAAAATAAATAGAAACAAGTGGTTAAAGGATCAAAAAACCCAAAACTATAATATTAATAAAAATATAAATATGAAACGTAAATCGACAAAGTAAGTAAAATAAGAAATTACCAAGTTAAAACACAAGAGGAGATTAAGATGTGAGCATAAATACGAGATAAGAGCATAAATAAAAGAACAGTAAGAAGTAAAAGAAGATACAAATAGTAAAACCAGTAAGAAAAGACACTAAGAAGACGACATTACATAAAAACAAGTCTGTAAAAGTAGCTATATATTGATGTAAAAGACAATAAATCAAGAACACTTTATCTTATTCAAATACATACGTTTTGTGCTGACTGGATATTTAATGAGTGATATATGAAACTGTATAAATAGGCTATTTAAATGCAACATGACGGTTGCTATGGTGTCTCCTGCCGTAAAGCTGACACCGCTGCCGTTCAGTAACACTGTTGTGACAGCAGCTAACAGTGACGTCGGCGCATGCGTTAGCTCAGCTAGCCGTTTGTTTCACAGGTTTAAACTGTCACCTCAGCAACACGGGGGATGTAACGTTGTTCTACTTTGTTGTTTAACGCTTGTAACGCACCGTCAGAACTAAACCTGCGAGGCTAGCCGTGAACACAAGGTTGGATGTGAAGAGGACACGGCTGAAAGCAGGGCGCTGGTTGTTTCTGTGTGTGTGTTGGGGAAACCATTTTGATGATTTTTCAATGCATCCGCCACATAAGGATACGCTCGTCTCGTTAGCTTAACACGGCTAGCCGCAGGATACAAGTCCGTGTCGTGGATGGGTCCGCTGTACAAGATATTCCTGGAAGAAACGGTGACCGGTGCTTAGCGGGCGACATGGACACTGCTGAAGAAGGTAAATAATGGAGCCGTCGCTTGTTGCTTCCTCACCGGGGGAGGTAGGGGGAGGTGTGGGGGGGTTTCGTCATTAAGCATTAGCTTCCGTAACACAACCTGGCCTGCTACTGGTTACTGTGGCTTTACCGCCTGTCTATGTGAGGATAATTTAGGAAGTTGAGAGTGTTGAACACCTTTTTTAATACGTGAAGGAAAGAGCACAGGTTACTGGTGATGTCATCAGTCTGTAAGAGTTTGTCTCGTGAACTTACTCCCCCTCGGCTTGTTTTCTATCTAACACAGTGGGGGCTTTATGTTTCTCTGGAGTGTATTCATTCATCCATCCATCCAAAATGACGACCTGTCGACTATCACCTGTCACCCTGCTTTCTGTCTGTGCACATCCACAGATCTTCATCATGAACTTTATTCACATGTGATGTGTTTGTGTTTCCCCCCCTTTTTGTGTGCAGCGGATATTTGTCGAGTGTGTCGCTCTGAGGGGACCCCGGACAAACCCCTGTACCACCCCTGTGTCTGCACTGGCAGTATCAAGTTTATCCACCAGGAATGGTAAGTTTATTTGGCTTTTCAGCTGTCATTCCTGTGACACCCCTCCCCCCCCTCCCAATTGCACAAAAAGACCCTTGACACTTAATGTGAATGATTTGGGTTAGGTTGTAAATACCTTATTCTAAAACCATCTTTGAAGCAACGTAAGGTTAACTTTTGGTTGTAAATATGAGGAAGTGAAGTTTTAATTCCATCGAGAGAGTTGTTTAATACCATGGTGATTGCATTGCGCCTAAAGAACATGCTGCACAAGCTCCCGCTGCTTTGATTTCCTTTAGTGTTGGCATATGAATGAGTTCAATAATCACGAAAGGGGTGCGACAGGAGTCTGTTGTCTACCACGTTCAGGATAGTCCCGCAACACAGTTAATCCAGATGGCTGACGTTTGGTGTGGTGTTGGTCTGTTGGAAACAATACCAGGCCCTGCAGGTAGTTTTAGGACTGTGCTGTGCTCTCATCTGTCCTATGTTTGAGATAACAGGCAACGAGAGAGGGTCAGGTGCGTGGAAATCCCCAGGCAACGAGAGGCCTAGATTGTTCTATGGCAATTGTTGAACGTCATTCTGGTCACCCCTACAAAGTTTAGAATAGCAGCCTTTTGTGTAAAGATAGTTGTGTTGTGTTGAGTGTATTCGGGCTGCAGTGCACCTTTCCCGTGTTTTTATTACATTTCCTTGTGATTTATTACTGAACTAAAGAAAAATAAATTACCTCCTAACCCCAAGCAAAACTCTTTAGGCAAACCCAAGTATAAGGGATTGTTGGAATTTCATTGTTTAACATTGCGTCAAAGATTAATATTTCTTTGTGAAAGGGAATTTCAGGTTATTTTTCACTCTCAGCACTGCTTCTCTGAACTGCAAGAGGTGTGAAATGTGTTATGTCATGGTGGGGTATCGATGTTGCCTTGAGTTATAGCACATCAGACCTTGTGCATTTTTCATAAGTCAGTCAGAGTGGAGTGATGTAAGTTGAATTTGTAACTGAAGTACAGCCCTGTCCAGTGCAGGTCTCATGACACAGGTCTTTCATGCTAACATAAATGTTGGGTTGAGTTATGTCCCCCCTTTCGTAACCATTTTGTTAATCCCAGGGCCTGGACTATGTCACAAAGGGCTGGGGTGTTAGTATGGCAACATGTAAGCAAAGATCAGCAAAGAAATAACAAATAAGAACATTTTTAATTGTGAATAATAAAGTTGAGTGTTGTACCATGACCGAAACATGATAAGTTCTCACTGTAGGTGACTATTGGGTCCCGCGGAGTCATCA